TTGTTAGGAGGGACCAGTCACTGGAGAAGGGTATCATGTTTGGTATGGTGGAGGGTCAGAGAAAAAGAAGAAGACCCCCAACGAGATGGATTGGCAAAGTGGCAACATCAATGGGTTCAAGTGTGACAACAATTGTGAGGTTGGCCCAGGACCGGGCAGTGTTTCGTTCTATTGTCCATAGGGTTGCTGTGCATCGGTACCAACTCGATGGCACCTAACAACAACAACACTTGCAGTATAAAGTGTGTTTAACCATGGAAGTTCTGGGTTCCACTTTTGATTCTCTAGTTTTGTGGTGGCCCCTGCATGTTTTACATTTTCAACGTATTTCCCGAGTGATCCTGATGTGCAGCCATGTTTGGATGTAGATTGTCATTTACAATAAAAACTAGAAACAAAAGGACATGTGACTTACGAATTTAACTAATAGGGTCTTTGGAATAAATGGTTGTTCTGTAAGCATTGGGAATAAAGCAATTTGGGCTTTTTTGTATGGTTCTTTTTTATCTAGTGTTTTTATTTACTTAGTTATCTAGTGCTGCTTTAACAGAATACTACAAATAGATGATTTTTAACAAACAGAAATTATTCTCTCACAGTTTAGGAGACTAGAAGCCCAAATTCAGGGCACAGGCTTTAGAGAAAGGTCCTTGTCTCCTTTCAACATCTGTAGGCCCAGCATTCTTTAGAGATTTACATATGTCTTGATGTCAGTCTTTCCCTGGATCTAGGAGCTTCACAGTGTAGGGACCCCAGGTCCAAAGTATGCATTCCACTCCCAACTCTTCTTTCTTGATGGTAGTCGGTTCCTCTGAGTTCTGTTTGCCTGTTTAATCTCTTTCATATCTGAAAAGAGATGGACTTGAATCAACCTTATCCTGTAGATTGCATTGACTCCAGTGACATCATAGAAGTGAGGATTAACAGCACACAAGGATAATTAGATCAGATCAGGACAGATCAGAATTAGATCACATGTAGAGTCGGTGATTACATTTTATTGGATATCATCATGGACAATTGTTGTTAAGTGCCATTGAGTCGATTCTGATTTATAGCGACCTTGTACAGAGTTTCTGAGGAGCGGCTGGTGGGTTAACAGCCTTGTGGTTAGCAGTCCAGCAGTTATCCTACAACACCACACCAGTTCTTTATAGGTGATTACTAGGTCTTAACTGTTAAGTCACTGAGAATTCAGGCCCAGCCAAGTTGATGTAAAACCTTAACTATCACAGGGAGGATGTATGTTAAAATATGATGCTGTGTACCAATGAGGAGAGTGTTACCATGGTTAGAACAGTTACCGAAGGTTACCTTCCTGGGATAACAAGAGTTAACGTAGTAAGAACTACCATTTCTGGTTATAAAACCTTGGAGACTGTTGAACACTGGTGTCATTAGACATGGTGATAGGACATCTAGGCCATGAAAAGTTAACTTGGGCCCAGTCTCTTCTCTGCACTCTGATATCCTTTCTAGTTCATTCCTTTTTTGCACTGTAAAATCCACATCATCTGATGAGCAGTTGGACCTTTCTAAAGAGGAGCAGAGAGAAAGTCTCCAGATGTGATCTTCCCTTGGTTTGCTGGGTGAATAACCTCATCCAGTAACAGTGTGAACCAAAAATGAGGTAGTCACTCCTTTCTTCGGGATGGCCTCTTGTACCTGTGATAGGATCAGCATCTGGAGATTAGGTGAACTCCATGATATAAATTCTGCCTAGAAGATAACAGGAATGAAGAGGAATCCAAATTCATTCTTATCCCTCTCCAATTTCAAAAGGGTATAATTGAACATTCTCATATAAAAAGTTAGAAACAGTGAGCACTAACCCTGTTCACTGTAAAGAAATATAAAATATTTGTTATTATAAAGCCACTACTTATTGTTGTGTGCTGTGGAGTCAGTTCTGACTCATAGTGACCCTGTACAGGGTTTCTGAGGCTGTAAATCTTTATGGGAGCAGAAAGTCTCATCTTTTTCCCGCGGAGCAACTGGTAGTTTTGAACTGCTGACCTTAAGGTTCGCAGCCTGATTCGTAACCACTACGCTATCAGAGCTCCTTAAAGCCACTACTAGGTGAAGCTAAATGGGAATGGAATTCAGGATCTTGTAAGGCAAATTTACAGTACTCAGTGCCATGAAACCTTTTTCCCAGTTAGAATATTCCTGACTGCTCCCTAATAAAGATGGTCTTTCTGCAATTACATTGATGCAATTGTTGCTGTATGAGGGTCAGTTTTCCCCATTCGTTCCTCCATAGTCTCTTTCCAGTCTTCTTTTGAAAACTTTGCCTTTTGTGTATGCTTTACAATATAAAAAAGGAAAAGATACAAATGTTAACTGGCATAAAGATTTAAGTTGCTTAATTATCTTTTGTCCACTCACTGATTTTTATGTGGTATGGCTTCTGGGTGTGGTACTGTAGGATCAGTACTGCACTGTGAACCACAAGGTTGGCAGTTCAAACCCACCAGCTGCTCCTTAGAAACCCTGTACGGGATTGCTAGGAGTCAGAACCAACTCAACAGCACTTAACAACAACAATAATGACAATTGCACTGTAGGATAAGTACTGGACTGCTAACCACAGGGTCATTGGTTCAAACCTACCAGCCACTCCTTGGAAACCCTATACAAGGTCACCAAGTGTGAACTGATTTGATGGCATTTAACAGTAACATATATAATTTGCCATTAAAAATAAAATTTAATTTACGATTTCAACTTGGTTATTTGTTTTCAGTGAAGCACAACTGGGAGACCATGATCGAAGCAATTCAGAACTACATAGGCTCTTTAAACTGGGGTTACAGGGTGTCTATGAGGGAGAACGCAGTGGCCTATATCAATTCCTACGGAGAGTTTGTTGAACATCACAAAGTAAAGGTACTGTTTGAGTTTTTTGTCTTGTTCACTACTTTTCTTATTATTGCTTGTACCTACTTTTGACTAAAATTTTGTGTTGCATATTAAGGAGTATGACTGACAGACACATTTGCCTCCATTGTTTTTGCATGACTGAACTGAAGAAATTTTTTAGAACACTTTTGAAGAATACTTTCATTTGAAGTTATTATTTGCCCTTTAATTTCATTGCCATCTTTTTAAGAGAAAATGTTTAAACTGAAAAGTTGAAAGTTTAGAAGACTACAAATATCAACATTTTAGCAGTGGAATCCTTTTAAAAAATAGATTCTTAACAATGCTAATATGTATTATTTATTGATAAAGTATCGACAGTAGTATCAGAATCAGTAAATTTTATATATTTATGCTTTTAATGTTTATTATAAAAGAGCCATGGTGACACGGTGGTTAAAGCACTCAGTTGCCAACCAAAAGCTCGGCAGTTCAAACCCACCAATTGCTTCTCTAGAGAAAGGTGTGGCGGTCTACTTGTATAAAGCTCACGGCCTTGGAAATCCTCTAGGGCAATTCTGCTCCTAAAGACTCTGTGAGTTTGAATTGACTTGATGGCATAGGGTTTGGTTTTGTTAGATTTGTGTATTGTAAGGTCAGTGTATAGGAAAATGAGACTCTTTTGATGGAAAACCCCATGAAATTGAAGTTATGGGGGATGGTGGCGTATTATCTTCATGTATTTTATTTTTAGAGTTTGTTTTGACAGCACAGTGTTTGATAATATTGACAAGATTAAAAATTACTTTGTAGACTTTTGCTATCTATAATTTGAAAAGGTATGATAGGATCTCTTAAAAATTATCACCTTTAAAACTATTACACGAGCCAGTTTCAATTGTATCATTCACATGAAACTTAGTAGAATACAAGTTAGTTTTATTTTTCTGGTTTAGAGATGCCTGGCACAGTTAGTTTAATAATCCTGCCTCGACTTTTGTTGTCGTTTAGTAATAGGAATTTTCCTGTAGAAATATCAGGGTCTTCCCTCGGTACACCTGTAGCCCCTGCCACTTGCTTGCTGCTTCAGACTTCAGTTCTTTGTCCCAGTGTACCTTCCCTCCATTCCACTGATTGTGTCACCACATCTGGCTTCATTGATATTTAAACTTTTTAAGATTAAAATGTATATATAATTTCTTAGGTAATTAAAAATAGACAATGAGTAACTTTTATTTGTTCCTCACAGTCTAAATATTCTTTACAGTTGTGGCCCTGTAGGATAAGTACTTGACTGTGAGCCAGAGGTTGGTGGTTCAAACCCACCAGCCACTTCTTGGAAACCCTATACAGGGTCGCTATGAGTCATAACCAACTCGACAGCACTTAACATCATCACCACCACCACAGTTGGCTCAAATTTTTATTTCACTTCTCAGCTTACTTTTCAGGTACTTCTAGTCACTTGCGATTTCCCAAATACCAGCTGCTTTCAGGCCTTTGTTTGGGTTGCTCAGTTGTTAAGCACTTGGTCGCTAACTGAAAGTTCGCAGTTGAAACCCACCAGCTGCTCCAGGTGAAAAAGACGTGGCAGTCTGCTTTAGTAAAGACTTAACAGCCTTGGAATCCCTATTGGTCACTTCTGCTATGTCCCTAGAGGGTCAGAGTTGGAATTGATGACAGCAGTGAGTTTATTTTGGGGGATGGGTGTGTATATATGTATATATGTGTATGTTTCTGTGTATGTATATGTAAGAGGAGGTTTCAAAGAGTTCATATGAATATGGAATTGAAAGTGACCCCTCTGTATCTCTGTGTGTGTATACGTGCACACATGTGAATACACACACATGCTTGACTGATAACTGAAAGGTTGGCAGGTTGATTCTGCCCAGAAAGGCCTGGGAATTTACTCCTGCTCCTGCTCCTTCCTCCCCCCAAAAAAACAAATGGCCATTGAAAACCCAGGGAGCAGAGGTCTACTTTGAAACCCATGGGGTTTCTAGGGGTCAGAAGCAACTCTGGCTCCTATTTATTTTGGTATTTATGTCTGTATCTGTATCTGCTGCTCTGTCTTCCAAGTTATTATTTATTTGAAATCATTTCTGTTTTCTCATATGTAATTTAAATACTCTCTTCTTTAAAACAATCCCTTGACTGGCTTTCTCCTCCTCTGACCTGCTACCGCTGTCAATTCCAACTCATAATGACTTTTTGTAGGATTTCCAAGACTGCAAATCTTTACAAGAGCTTTCTTCTGTGGAGTGGCTGGTGGGTTTGAACTGCTAACCTTGCAGTTTTCATTCAGTGCTTTTCCTACAGCACTGCCAAGGCTCCTTTCCCCTGATAGTCCTTTGTTTACTATTTTGTAAAGACTTGTACTTATAACATTGCATTATTTATTACTTCTTTGTTGCTCCTGTTGAATTGGAAACTCTGTTAGAGTAATAACTATTTTGTATGGGTGTTTGATACTTTATAGTGTTTGTTTAGTAAGTGAAGTTTTTTTTTTCTTTCTCTCTTTTCAAGGCAACCAATAGAAAAGGACAAGCAACTTATTATACTGCAGCAAAATTTGTTATAGCAACAGGTGAAAGACCACGGTACTTAGGAATCCAAGGAGATAAAGAATACTGTATTACTAGGTAAGATTGGAGTCCCTAAGTATCAGAAATGGTTAATAGCGCTCAGCTGCTAACTGAACAATTAGAAACCACCCAGAGGCACCTCAAAAGAATGTCCTGGTGATCTACTTCTAAAACTTCAGTTATTGAAAACAGTTTTACTCTGACATATGTGGGGACGCCATGAGTCAGAGTCAACTTATAACAACTGATGAGTTTAAAAAGATATATTTCAATATATTTTGTTGTTCAGAGTAAACTCAGAAAAATATAAAGCAATACAATAGTTTCTCCATATACAGTTTAGTGACATTGATGACGCTCTTTGAGTTGTACAGCCATTCCCACACAGACATAAACTCATTGCACCCCAGGCGTCTTTCTAGTCCTTAAATTGCTGTTTTCAGTTTTATCCCATATACATAGTTCTTAAAATGCTCAAGGTAGAACTTTTTTTCTAGTTAAGCTTAAAATGTTAATTTTAAAATGACTTCAGAGGATATTTTTGGTTTGAAGATTTTATTTCAGGGCAGTGTATTCAGGGGTTCATCCAACCTTTGTGGCTCTAGGGAGTCTAGAGTTCATGACAATACAAAATTCTGTTCTACATTTTCCCCCTTTTGATCAAAGATTTTTCTATAGAATTTTTTTATCAAATGTTTGATAATGCTAGCTGGGCACCAGCCAGTTCTTCTGGTCTCATGGAAAAGGAGGCAGTTATTCATGCAGGCAGTCAGCCACATAGTCCATATCCTGATTCCCCTTCTTCCTCTTTTGCTCCATGTGAATAAAGACCAATTATTGTGTATTGGATGGCTGTCTACAAGTTTTTAAGACCTCAGGAACTATGCAAAAGGTAGAACAGAAATACTAGACAAGTCATTAGGCCAATTAACTGGGATGTGCAATGAAACCATGACCCTAAACCTACAAACCAAAGAACCAAATCCCATGAGGTTTGGGGTTTTTTATATATATATATATATATGCAGCCTCAGCAGTTACTCTGTTTTCCTTGTGCTTCTTGTAAATGTGTGTCATACAGCTTTTACCAATTCAACCTTTTACAGGTGTGCGACTTATTGACAACACTTAAAATATTTGACTGTTATCCTATCCTTAATCATTATAATTTTTCAATCACCATAAACTGAAATTCAGAATCTCAAAAGCAGTAACCTTCCCTAGCCCTCTTCCTTCTGTTCTTGGTAACCACTCATAAACTTTGTTCTCTCTACATTTGCCATTTCTTCTCTTTTAATATATGTGAAGTCATACAGTATTTGGCCATTTGTGACTGACTTGTTTCATTCAGCATAGTGTCTTCAAGTGCCTTCCATACTGTAGTGTATATCAAGATTTCATTTCGCTCACTGGCTAAGTAGTTAGTATTCATTGTGCATATGAATCACATTTTGTTTTTCCATTCATGTGTTGATAAGCATTTAGGTTGTTTCTCCATTTTGGTTGTTAGGAATTGTGTTGCAGTAAACTTTGGGGTCTTTTAGTCTCTGCTCTCAAGTTCAAAGAGTGAAATTGCTTGGTAGTGTGGTGGGTATGAGTTGGGCTGTTAACCTTAAGGTCATCAGTTTGAAACGACCAGCCATTCCACAGGAGAAAGATGAGGCTTTCTGCTCTGCTAAAGATTTACAATCTCAGAAAGCCTGTGCAGGGTCACCACGAGTCAGAATTGACTCTCTGGCACATCACCACCACCACCACGGGAATTTTATGTTTACTTGTGAGACACCGCCACACTATTTCCCCAAGTTTTTCTATCACAGCTATATCATTTTTCATTTCTACCAGCAGTTCTAATTCCTACATTGAAAACAACAGAAAAGGTTTTTTTGTTTTTCTTTGTTTGTTGTTTATGTTTGTCTTAGCTGTCCTGTTGTTGTTATGTGCTGTGGAGTCGGTTCCTAGGTTCCTACTCATAGTGACCCTGTATAGGGTTTCCGAGGCTGTAAATCTTTACAGGAGCAGACAGCCTCATCTTTCTCCCATGGAACAGCTGGGAGTTTTGAACTGCTGAGCCTTAGGTTAGCAGCCTGACTCGTAACCACTGTGCTACCAGAGCTCCTAGTAGGAGTAAAATGGTATCTCATTGTGGGTTTTATTTGCAACTGATGATTTTTTTTTTTTTATTGTAACCAACTTACTAGTTGATACTCCATTTTAATTATAAATTGCCTAATCTTTATGTATCTTCAGTTTATATACTTTATTACTTCGCAGAAGATTTGAACTGATGACAAATAAAAGTACATTTAATGCAAGAAGATAAAGTAATCATGCAAAGAGAAAATAAGGTTAGATAAATAATAATCTCAGTGGTAAAAATGTATACACAAAATTGTGCTGTCTATTCCTTTGTAATTGCTGGGAGCAGCTTGGGAATTTGGGTGTTAGCTTCCAAAACAGATAACTACAATTGTAGGATTTTGTGTCTGTGTGATTATGGTGAATCAGTTGATCACTATTCTGAATCTGCAAATTGAATGGGAATTTTCCCTGAATGATCATAAAGGGAACATTATATCTTGTAGTGCAGTGACTTTTAGTTTTTTTGTTGAAAATTACACTAAAAAATACATTTTTAATTGCATCATTCAGGTGAACATACATATATGTATATTCATTAAAAACCAAACAAACACTATTCCTTTTCATATGCATATATAAAGTATCCCTGGTGGAACAGTGGTTAGGGGATTGACTGGGAACTGAAAGATTAGCATTATCTTGAACCCACCAGCACTCTCAGAGAGAAAGATGCGGCAGTTTGTTTCTGTAAAGATTAAAGCCTTGGGCACTTTTACTTTGTCTTCTGAGGTCTGCTACGAGTCAGAATTGACTCCATGGCAACAGGTCTGGTTTAATTTACTGCATATAATGTAGTCTAATTTTTTCTATTTTAAGTTTTGTGATCCAGAATTTGATTTTGAAAAATCTGAGGTATGTTTCTTCCTCCACGTTCTCGCCACAGTAAGCACAATTACAAACTTCAAAAGTTTTTTCTTTGTGTTTTTTCATTCAAGCATCAAATTGTAATCCAACCAACAATTGAAATCTTTATAACTCATTTTATTGCTTATATTGCAATAAATTTTTTTATTCTTTTTTTTTTTTTTTTTCTTCCAGTGATGACCTTTTCTCTCTGCCTTACTGCCCTGGCAAAACTTTAGTTGTGGGTGCATCTTATGTGGCTCTGGAATGTGCGGGATTTCTTGCTGGTATTGGATTAGATGTCTCAGTAATGGTGCGTTCAATCCTTCTTCGTGGTTTTGATCAAGAAATGGCAGAGAAAGTGGGTTCCTACATGGAAGAACATGGTGTTAAATTCTTAAGAAAATTTGTACCTGTGATGGTAAGTCTGAATAACAGTTGGAATACTTTTTATTTTGTAATTTCTTTAACATTTAATTTTCTCTTCCTTACTTCATTAAGTAAGTCAGTCTGTCCTCTAAGAAACCTGACAAATCATATTCTACCTCTAAGCCTACAGATCTGATCCATGTTTATTCCCATCACTGTGTCCTTCCTTTGATAATGGAAAAGGCATCCTTACTCTTCTCAGAGACTGGATTCCCTTTTCTCTTTGCTTTTTCTCTCAACTTTGTACGGACTGCTCATCCATCTTCAGTTACTTTCTTATTTGCCTTGTAGGCTTCTCTTCCGTATCTCCTATCTTTAAACAAGTCAGTTATCCCATGGGCATTCTCTGTCTTTCTAGGTGTATCCCATTGTTCTTTTCCTGTTACAACAAAAATTCATATATGCTGCTTCTAATGTGTTGCCTCCATTTCATTCTTCAGCTGACAGCCACTTTTATTACTGCTGCTGCTTTGGGATCTTTAGCAAATTCCCCATTGCCAAGTCCAGTGGTCTTGTCTTATATATTACTGGGACTCAGAGCAGCACAAGGTCAGTAGTTGCAGTCCACCAGCCACTCTGCAGAAGAAAAATGAGGCTTTCTGCTCCTGCAGAGACTTGAAAGCCTCAGAAACCCTATACAGGGTTGCTTCGAATTAAAACCAACTCAGTGGCACTTAACAACAACAGTTCAGCAGCTTTTGGTGAAATTGATGTTCCTTCTATTTAAAACTCTTTCAGTGTCTTTAGCACCACAGCCTATGATTTTCCTCACCACATCAACTTTTCTTGTAAATATGGAGCACACCTTAGTTTTCATCCAGGCCACTGTTACCTGGGTTGGCGTCTTAGGCCTATAATTTTAATTATCATCCAAATTCTAGTGACTCTCACTCAGATTTATATCTGTTTCAAACATTGGTCCCAAACTCCACATTTATTGACACAACTGCCCACCAGATACCTCTGCTTCATTTCCTCAAACATTTAAAAAATGTTAAGACAAAATGACTCTCTTGATATTTTACCTAAATGTAAACCCTTGCTAATTTTTTCTGGGCCATCTTAATATTCAGTATATGACACCTCCAGCCACATGCTGTAGGATAAGCACTGGACTGCAAAGTTGGTTAGAACTGCAAGGTTGGTGGGTTCATACTCATCAATAGCTCCTCAAAAACCCTCTACAGGGTCGCTTTGGGTTGGAACCAACTTGACTACACTTAACAACAACAACACACCTAGGAAGCATCTTTTATTCCTCTTTATGTGCTGTCTCCAATCTTGGGTCATCCAATAATTCATTTATATCTTCAAAACATATCTGTGACAATCTTCTGGTTTTTATCATTACTTAATCTCAAAACCTTGCATATAGTCACATGTGTACATACCCACTCATATATGTACATACCCTTTGATCCATTTATTTTCTGTCATTGTTAGATTCAACAGCTGGAGTCAGGCTCACCTGGAAAGCTGAAAGTAGTAGCTAAATCCACTGACGGACCAGAAACTATTGAAGGAATCTATAACACAGTAAGTTTTTATTTTATAAGCAGTAAGTGTTGAATACAATCATAAAATAGCATAAATGAAACTTATCAAAATAGTACCAATATTTTTTTATTCTTTTGAAATATAAGTATGAAGATAGTTGGGCTGCTCACATTTGACAGTATTCAGCAATACATGATGCATAGCATTACAAAATATATGATATGTATATATGGTTATTCTCAAAACACATACACCCAACTATTATTAGTACTTTTGGGGAAATTAGATATTGTATACATTTATGCATTTGAATCTAAGAGTGGGGCTTCAAAAAGTTCACAGAAAAATGGATTGAAAAGATAATGGAAACTTTTCACAAACTTTTTAAAGCCCCCTCATGTTTTCAGTAGCACAGAATGCTTTCTATAACCAAACACATCATAATAGAAATATTTATATTTTCTAAACAAAGAATATAAACTTCCCCAGACAGCATGGAGTATTTTGGATGGGAAAAATATTTTAAACTGATGCTATTTAGATGCCTACAGTTGCTTTGTAAACAGTAATTTATAACTTCCATGTAAATTTATGTTTTATATACTATGATACACATGATGTTTTTCATAGTTAAAAAGTTAAACATACTAAAGACAGGTTCATCAAAGCTAAAACAAAACCCAAACCAAAAATCAACCATGTTGGCATTTGAATTGGAGTTGCGTTGACTATATAGATCCATTGGAAACACTTGACTGGTTTGCAATATTCAGTCTTCTGACCTACTAGCATAGTATATTCTCCACTGATTTAGATGGTTTCTGTAGTTTTTAAGAAAGTTTAATACATTTCTGTATCGAGGTCAAGAATGTATTTAGTCCTAGACACTTCATGTAATTTTATGTAGTTATAAATGGCATTTTGTAAGAGTGTCATTATTTTTAACTATTTACTCTTGGTATATAGAAAATAGGTTGTTTTAAAGACTTCTTAATGTGAGTTAATGAAGTTTTACAGTGCAAATCATCAGTTTTACATTCAACAAACCATAGAATTTGCTTTATTGCAATGATTGTAATCCCCTCCATGTACCATCAGTTAACAGTATTTGCCTCTATTCACTTTAATTGTTGGCATTCCTCCATGTATCTCCCACTACCTTCATCTTTCCTCTGCTAACCTCCCTCTTGTACATTGCCTTCCTTGTCACCCATGTTAACATGTGTCTGTTCTCTAGCCTGTGAATAATCCTCCAACCCCTGCAAAAGCAACATAGAATGTTTCTTTTATCAAGAAAACCTTTTCTTAACTTTTTACAACAGTGGTGTCATTCCGTATTCATCCTTTTGTGATTGACTAATTTCATTCAACATAATGTTCTTAAAGTTCATCCATGTTATGAGGTGTTTTGCAAGTTTATTGTTATTCTTCAGTGTGTAGTATTACATTGTATGAGTGGTATCAAAATTTGTTTAGCCAGTTTTCTGTTGTTGGGCATTGAGGTCGTCTCCATCTTTTTGATGTGTGTCTTATAGACAGCACATTGTGGGGTCCTGCTTTCTTATCCATCTGCTCTCTGTGTCTCTTGACTGGTACATTTGATCCATGTACATTCAATGTAATTATCAATAGGTATGTGGTTACGAATCGGGCTGCGAACCTTAAAGTCAGCAGTTCGAAACTACCAGCCGCTTCGTGGGGGTAAGATGAGGCGTTCTGCTCCCGTAAAGATTTACAGCTTTGGAAACTCTGTACAGGGTCGCTATGGGTTGGAATCGACTCGATGGTACTTAACACACTTAACAACAACAACAACAATAAATTGATTACTGTCATTTTGCTGTAGGTTTTTTTTTGTTGTTATTGTTAAGTGCCATCCAGT